CTGACGCGTGGTTCATCCCCCATTCCACCAGTCACCTTTATTGACTGACGCGTGGTTCATCCCCCATTCCACCAGTCACCTTTATTGACTGACGCCTGGCTCATCCAGTTCCAGACCTATTGGTGATGCTATTTAGTTGCCTGAGCTCCTGGGCCTTTGGGGTTGGGGTGAAAGAAATGCAAGCCCTGTGTTAGGGGTAAGAGTACACCCACCTAGGAGGTTCTAGGGGATTTCTCTGCCCCTCCATCCCAACCCCCCACACCATCTCCTTTTCAACATTTTCGTGAGGTAATTAGGAGCAGTCTACTATTCCCTATTTCAAGATGAGGAAACTGAGACAGATGAGGCCACTGTTAACGGGATGAGATGTGCAGGAGGTTCCAGGCTAGCAGCCAGTCTTCTCCTTCCTGAGGGTTCTTTCCAGTGATTGCAGGATTCAAACACAGTTAACCATGTAAATCAGCTTAGACTCTTAAACTCTTTTTTTTTTCTTTTAAAGATTGATTTACTTATGCATACAAACTTGTACCCCAGTTCTGTATGTATACAAGAGGTACGGCGGGTGAAAGGATTCACCAGAGACAGAGTGGGCAGAAGGACAGCCAGATCGATGAAATACACTGCTGAGGGGAGCAGTGGGCAGGTCAGGAGAGGTCTGCCGCGCCATGTGGCAGGGGATCTCTAGTTTCAGCAGAGGTGGTCTTCCCAGGAAACTGAAGCCCCCAAGATAGGGTCTGATTGCTGAGAAGCTGAGGCCTCTTGGGCATCTCTCCCACTGGCTCCAGGCTGTGGAATGGCTGGGTCTTCCTTCCTGCTGGGTGACTTCCCACTAGCAGCCTTACCCCATCAGAGTGCTCTGGCCACAGAACCATAGCACCTTCCCTGCTGGCCTCTTAGAACCAGGCCAGGAGGGTTCGGGCAGCTGGAGAGATCCTTCTCCTGTTAGCTCAGCCCTTCTGCCAGGGGCAAGAGCCCCTTTGCTGCTGGGATAGCAATAGCTGCACCTTTAGGAAAGGCCTCCCTGAGAAAGCTGAGGGTCTGCATCAGCATTGGCTTTTGTGGTTGAGAGTCTTTCTTTGACAGGGAACAAAAACACCACTGAGGCTGGAGGGGCTCACCCTGCTCTCACTGGCGGGTGGCGTGGGCAGTGGCTTGCCCTAACTGAGCTTCAGCTTCGCTCACCTTGTAATGGGGATAATTATCATATCTACCTCAAGGTTAAGACGTAGTGCGTGAGGTGCACGTGCCGTCGTCATGCCGGAAGCAGCCAATGTTGGCGAAGCTTGAGCACCACGTCAGGCTTGCTCAGGAGCCGCGCTGGGCACATAGACGCACAGGGGATTACAGAGCAGCTCATCCCGGGGCATGTGCGTGGGTGGCCAGCCGCCTGTGGGACCAGGACCAGTCACAGCAACTGCTGGGCCTTGACTTTGCTCTGCCTGTTTACTCTCTCCTGAGCACCGCTGTCTCTGGCCAGCGGGCTTTCCTTCATTTTCCTCCTGGCTGCCTGTGTCTAAGTGGGTCCTGGGGCAGCTCAAGGTAGTCACAGAGACCTTCCATCAGGTCTCAAGTGTATCTTTGATCGGAGGTTTCTGTGGATTTCTTCTTCTACCTCCCCCACTCCACCTCCACTGTGTGATCATCCTAGCCAGGAATAAGTTTGGATGAAAGCTAACTCAGAGCTTCGGAAGGGACCCTGGAGATTCTTTTAACACATCTTGCACATGGTGGGACTAGGGGCAGATGAGATGTCAAGTTCAAGGTGGTGGCCCAGCTCCCAAGTTCCCTGACCCCTTCGCTAATGCACCCCCGAGCCCAAGCACCCACCCGTCCCTGCCTCAGGAAGGCTCACAGTTGCACACTTTTTGGACCATTCCTCATCTTCTCAGTTCCCTTGTCTGGATTCACTGGACTGGGCTGGGCCAAGTTGCTGCTATTTGTCTTGCAGCCGTTGTAGCTGGGAGCGCTCATTTGCCTGCTCTCCCGTTTATTTCATTGGTTTCTCGATTCTGGATCCTTTTCATCCGAGCCCCGAGCTCTATGCAATTAGCTTTTATCAAGTCCTGTTTTTGTTTTTGCTTCTTTGTCTTTTTCCTTCCGTTGCGATCACTATGTGGTCTTGTGGCCCTTCCTCTTTGCTCCAAAGTCCTTACTTGACTGATTCTTCTCTGCTAAAAGAAAAGTTAAGAAGATCCATCCTGTGTGTCCCATGGCATGTCAGCAATACCCGATATGAAGCTTGTATTAATTCCTCTGTGATTGTCCAGGTAGGAACCTGGGGTGTTCTTTGCACATTCCTTCTTTGTTTTGTTTGCTAATGGCTGGGAGGGAGAAGTGATGAGAAACATTACCTAAAGCCTGAAAATTCTTTCAATTCAATTCTTTCAATTTCATAATTTGTTAAACAAGTTAAACTGAAATGTAATATTTTTAAATGAACAATAGCATGTGGAGATTGATAGTTATGGAACACTTAATACATTAATTATTTATTAATAATTAGTAACTTTTAATGCTGCCATCCATTCCAGACACCTGTTCATCCCTTTTTTCTTACTCTGTCTTAGAATTTTTAGTGATTAAAAAATGTTAAATATGCATACCAGAGAGAATAGCAAATTGAATTCCCTGTGTACTCATCACCCACATTCAATGATTGTGACTTTTCTATTCCTCTCAGCTTCCCTGATCCCTACTCTTTTTTTCCTTTTTGGCTCAAGTCTATGATGGCAAATCTTAGAAGCCATACTTTCACACCAAAATACTTTATTTAGAGCCCCCTTAAGAAATCATCTCCCCAATGCTATTATTATACCCAATGAGATGAACAGTAATTCTTTTGTAGCTAATGGTAGTTGGGAGGTGGGCTACCCTTCCAGAAGCCATGCCTTCTCGCAGTAACGTGCTCTTTCCACTGCCGGAGGCTTAAGGAACTCTATCTGTTGCAGCTGAGCACAGGATCCAGTTTTTTTCTTGTCTCAGTTGTCTTTTTGGTAGTTAAACAGTATACAATTTTTGATAGTTTTTAAGCATGTAGTTCATCACTGTTAAGTATATTCACACTGTTGTGAAACAGATCTTTAAAGCTTTTCATCTAGTGCATTTGAAGCTGTATTCACTAAACAATGAGTCTTCCTCTCCTGAATCCCTGGTTTGTGTCTATGAATTTGTCTACTCTAGGGACCAGGTATAAGTGAGATCATACATTATTTGATTTCTTGTGACGGTTTCTTTCGTTTATCGTATTGTCCTCAGCATCCTCCCCTGTTGTTTTCTAAGTCTGAATACTAGTCTATCACTTATGGACCACGTTTTGTCTCCCCATTCATCTTCAGAGGACATTGGGGTGTTTCCATTGCTTATCTATTCTGAGGAAAGCTGCCATGAACATGGTATACAGGTATCCCATCAGGACCCCACTTTCTATTTCTTGGGCTGTCTGTTCCAAAAGTGGGATTGCTGGATCACATAGTGGCACTAGTTTTAACTTTTTGAAGAACCCCCACGCTGTTTTCCTTAGCAGTCAAACCACTTCACAGTCCCACCAACAGTGTGTGAAACTTCCACCATCTACAAATTCCTCCAGCTCCATATTGATCATCAGCTCCCCTGGGTTGTTTTGCTTCTCAGGTCTGAGGGAGATGAGACTCAATGACACTTGATGTTTGAAAGGCTCTTGACTCACATACTCAGGGTTGTTCTATGCTCATTCACTGTTTCTCTTTTTTGTTTGTTTTATGCTCATCTGAATGAGTCTTTCTCTTTCTTCTGTGAACTGAGTGATCTGGGACCGCCGTGTGTAAGCCCCCTCCCACCTCAGCCTTGTCCCCTGCCCTCAACCTGGGGTGCAAGTGATCTGGGAGGTCTGGTTCTCTATCACTATGATGCTAAAGAGCTCAAATCAGGGTTCTCCAGGCTCCTGGGTCCCTGGGGTGAGTTGAAAGGGTATATAGGTACTGGAAGCAGAGATCCACGGACGAGGTACTTGACAGAGACGTACCAAGGGACTTGAAGACGCTGTCGTCACACGTTCAGCATGACCCCGAACCTGTGATGTCACTGAGCTCCTTTCCTTTCCTTATTTCTTTATTGAGGAATGTGCACACATAATGCAGATATTATTTTTAGTCCTGAAGATTAGAAAATTTGGGGTATGTTCACATTACCTGGTGATCTAAATATCAGTGTTATTTTAGTGTTTTTGTTTGTTTGTTTAAGATTTATTTATTTGTGCATACAGAACTGGGGTACAGGCCAGAGGCTTAGGGGCG